TATTGTTATTATTATTTGTTGAAATTATTTGAGCATTTTAACATAAAAAATATTCCATGACTCATGTTAGCTGGCTTATAAGTTGAGGTTAACCACAATTAAGGAACAACATTTAGATTTAAAATATTATTTCTTAATTAATGCCTCTAACATGGATGAGTCATGGAATATTTTTATTTGCATATGGTTTTCTTAATATTGGGTTAACTAGAACGGATCTAGAGCACAACTTATGGATTCACGAGAATACAATAGCTTTTGCACAGTCCGTGTATTTTCATTAAGAAATTTACTAAATATATACAAATATTTGACTGTTATCCCAATCACTTATTGTATATTAACTTGAGATTGTTGTACCAACCCATAAAACTTCAAATCCTGGATCATCTGTGACGGGAAGCAATTAGACAGTCAAAAGTCAACTTAACTCTCAACTTGCAGCATTAATTAAGGGATAACACTTAAACAATGATTCTGCACATGTATTTTTAATTCTAGTTTTGCCAGTTCAACCAACAAGATAAGTCTAAACAAATATAAGCATTAATCAAGGAGCAACACTTGAATGAGAAGTCAGATTTTAACATAAAACTTTTCCCTGTCTGGTTTAGCTAAAGTCAACTGGTGAGCTAAGTCTTAACAACTATTATTAGCTAATTGTAGCATTAATTAAGGAATAATAATTGAATTATAATTCATGATTTAAGTGCATATGGTCATGGTTTAGCTAGTCTTTCTCTTTTCAGGAAAAAACAAAACATTAACCTCCTAGCTAGGAGAGAACTCCATTCAACATAACAGCTGTGATTACAGATTTACCATACTTCAGTACTAACAAAAGCTAATATTTTGCTCTAATGAATCTAAAGGAATAAGTTGTGCCAAATCTTTGTTAATCATTAGCTGCTAACAAAGAAGGATAGTCAATGCTTCCATATGTTGTTGTAATTCCACGAGCACCCATTCTTCACCAAGAAATCAACTGTCACATTTGCTTCTCTGAAAAACTGAACAAATATAAATTACAGCATAAATATAAGCTCTCTTATCTGCTAAACCGCTATTTTAATTCTCCAAGACGTAGTTACAAAATTCTCAATTTCATTACACAAGAACATCTCAATAATCTGTTTAAAACAACTCGAGATCATATATAGATTGAGTATCATTCTAGTAATATGTTGAAATGTGAACAATATAAACTTGTTTCCATTTGTTTACATTAGTTCATGAACTAGAATATTAATTTAGTACATGTATTAGAGTATGAACACATTGATGTACTTTGGAAGATATAATATCTAGTAGTGTCATCCATATACCTTGAAAGATGTGAGGTGTGAACTTAATTATTATGTTTATATGTAGTGTAGGCTAGATACATGAAAGATTTCTCCTATAAATAGCCATGTATTCCTAGCCATTTGGAGTAAGTCAAGTTGAATAGAAATCATTCTTTCCTCCACTTTCTTCATTGTGAGCTTTGAGTGTTCTTTTGTGTTATTTTGCTCTCCCAAATTTTCTAACATTGTGGTATCAGAGCCGGTGTGTTTGAGAGGTAACCAAACTTGGAGAGAAAATGACAAATAGTAATGGAACTCCATTTCAAGTTCCTATGCTCGCAAAAGAGAACTATGGAAATTGGTGTATCCGGATGAAGGCCTTGCTTGGTGCCTATGATGTTTGGGTGGAAGTTGGAGGTGATGGAGTAGAAGACGATGCTGCCTTTAAAAAGAAAGATCAAAAGGCGCTCACTCTCATCCATCAAAGTTTGGATGACAAGATGTTTGAGAAGGTTGCAAATGCAACCACCTCAAAGCAAGCATGGGGGATTCTTCAAACTTCCTTTAAAGATTTGGATAAAGTAAAAAGATTTCGTCTCCAAACCTTAAGAAGAGAGTTTGAATCATTGCATATGAAGGAATCCGAATCCGTTTCGGATTACATTTCAAGAGTTTTGGCTATTGTCAATCAAATGAAGAGATATGGTGAAGACTTGAGTGATGATAGGGTCGTTGCAAAAATACTATGATCTCTTGATTCAAAATTTAATTATATTGTTGTGGCTATTGAAGAGTCCAAAGATTTGAATACCATGACCATTGAAAAACTCACGGGTTCTTTGCAAGCACATGAAGAAAAGTTGAAGAAACCAAAAGAAGAATAGGTTGAACAAGCGTTGCAAGCAAAACATTCTTTCAAGGAGAAAGATGAAAGGCGTGGCTCGCAACAAAGAAGTCGAGGACGTGGACAAGGTCGTGGTGGAAAAGGAAGAGGTGGTAGCCAACCACCATATAAAGAAACTAGGAGCCAAGACTCTAATCAAGGAAGAGGTCGCGGAAGAGGTAGATGATGGAGGAAAAATCAAGGAAGGTATGATAAGTCTAATATTGAATGTTATACTTGTCATAAATTTGATCATTTTTTCTGGGAATGTAAAAATAATGTGGAGGAAAAACTAATTTTATGGAGAGCAAAAATGAAGATGAAGATGGTATTTTAGTTCTCGCTTGCAAAAGAGAGAAAGTGTAGAGAGAATTCAATGGTACCTTGACTTCGGTGCAAATAGCCATATTTGTGGAAAGAAGAATTTATTTGTGGAGCTTGAAAAATTGAATGGTGGCAACATCACTTTTGGAGACTCTTCGCGGGTTAAAATCAAAGGAAAAGGTACGATTTTAATTCGCTTGAAAAATGGTACTCACCAAATAATTTCTAATGTTTTGTATGTACCAGAGATGAAAAGTAATATTTTAAGTTTGGGACAGCTTTTGGAGAAAAATTATGATATTCATTTGAAAGATACAAATTTGTTCTTGAGAGGTGAAAATGGGAGAATGTTAGCCAAAGTTCCTATGGCTAATAATAAAATATTTGTTTTGAACCTTCAATATGATGTTCCAAGGTGTTTGCTTTCATGTACCAAAGATTCATCTTGGCTTTGGCACATGAGATTTGGTTATGTGAATTTTGATAGTCTAAAGTTGATGAAGAAAGAAAGCATGATGAATGGATTGCCAACTATTGATCATCCGAGCCAACTTTGCGAAGGATGTCTTTTTGGAAAGCAAGCAAGAAATGTTTTTTCCTAAAGAGTCTTTGACTAGAGCCCAATGGCCATTGGAGTTGATTCATATGGATGTGTGCGGACCAATCAAGCCATCTTCACTTGGTAAAAAGTAATTATTTTTTACTTTTCATTGATGATTTTTCTAGAAAAACTTGGGAATATTTTTTGAAGATAAAATCGGAAGTGTTTGATGCTTTCAAAAAATTCAAGAGCATGGTGGAGAAACAAAGTGGCTATTAAGTTAAGTCATTGCGGTCCGATAATGGTGGAGAATTCACTTTAAATGAATTCAAAATTTTTTCTGAAAATAGTGGAATTCGTCATTTTTTTACTATTCCAAGATCACCACAACAAAATGGCGTCGTGGAAAGAAAGAAACCGGACTATTCTTAGCATGGCACGGAGTATGTTGAAGAGCAAAAATATGCCAAAGGAGTTTTGGGCTGAAGCAGTTGCTTGTGCAGTGTATTTGTCAAATCGGTGTCACACCAAGAGTATTCGTGACAAAACACCTCAAGAGGCTTGGAGTGGTTTCAAGCCAAAAGTTGCTCATTTGCGAGTTTTTGGGAGCACTGCCTATGCACATGTGCCGGATGAGAAGAGGTCCAAGCTTGATGATAAAAGTGAGAGGTATGTTTTCATTGGCTATGATCAAAGTTCTAAAGGTTATAAATTATATAACCCAAGAAATGGCAAAGTCACCATAAGCAGAGATGTTGAGTTTGATGAAGATAATGCTTGGGAATGGATAACTAAAGAGCAAGATTACTCTTTCAGTCCTTTCTTTGATGAAGATGATGAAGAAGTCACACCACCTTCAACACCTCCAGCACAAGTTCAAGAAGAAGATAGTCAAGTTCAAGTTCTTCAAATGAAGTGCCTTAGAAAACTAAAAGTTTTCGTGAGTTGTATGAAAATACGGAAGTGGTAAGAAAATATTTATATGATTTGACTCACTTTTGTTTGTTGGTGGATAGTGAGCCTTTAACTTATGAAAATGCTGCCCAAAATGCCAAATGGAGAGATGCCATGGATGAAGAAATTAAGGCAATCAAGAAGAATGATACTTGGGAACTAGTCATACTTCCAAAAGGCAAAAGCACCATTGGTGTCAAATGGGTGTACAAGTTGAAGAAAAATTCTAAGGGTAAGGTGAAAAGGTACAAAGCAAGATTAGTTGCCAAGGGGTACAAGCAAAAGGCCGGTATTGACTATGATGAGGTATTTGCATCAGTTGCTCGTTTGGAAATAATTCGTTTAATTATTTCATTGGCAGCTCAAAATCAATGGAAAATTTATCAAATGGATGTGAAGTCATTCTTGAATGGCGTTTTGGAGGAAGAGGTTTACATTGATCAACCTTTGGGCTACAAGGTTGAAGGACATGAAAATAAGGTTATGTAGCTTGAGCACGTGAAGTAACAAGACCAAATTGCGGATATTTTCATCAAGCCATTGAAGATTGAACTTTTTCAAAAGTTAAGGAAGGCTCTTGGAGTGACGAAACAAATTTAAGGGGGATGTTGAAATGTGAACAATATAAACTTGTTTCCATTTGTTTACATTAGTTCATGAAATAGAATATTAATTTAGTATTAGAGTATGAACACATTGATGTACTTTGGAAGATATAATGTCTAGTAATGTCATCTATGTACCTTGAAAGATGTGAGGTGTGGACTTAATTATTATGTTTACATGTAGTGTAGGCTAGATACATGACAGATTTCTCCTATAAATAGCCATGTATTCCTAGCCATTTGGAGGAAGTCAAGTTGAATAGAAGTCAAGCTGAATAGAAATCATCCTTTCCTCCACTTTCTTCTTTGTGAGTTTTGAGTGTTCTTTTGTGTTGTCTTATTCAACAAGAGTGGGTTACTCTAGTGGTGAGCACCCTCCACTTCCAACCAAGAGGTTGTGAGTTCGAGTCACCCCAAGAACAAGGTGGGGAGTTCTTGAAAGGAGGGAGCTGAGAGTCTATCGGAAACAGCCTCTCTACCCTAGGGTAGGAGTAAGGTATGCGTACACACTACCCTCCCCAGACCCCACTAGTGCGATTATACTGGGTTGTTGTTGTTGTTGTACTTTGTTCAACATGAAAATGCTGAATACTACAAAGTATTATCATAGTAAATTATAAGTCAATCTCTAAGAGGAAAATTTTAAGTGATCAGCTAACTCCAAGAGAAGTTCATACTACTCAACCTTCCTCCTCGACAATTGGGTTTTTCAATAAGAACGCTTTGAAAAGGGCAAGTATAATTGCATAGGTCTAACTCACATGAACCGAGGAGCCCTGCTTCCGACCTATCTTAGGGACCACAGGTAATTATGAACATTTCAAAATTAGGAAAGGCGTAAATAACTTCAGTAGAGTATTCATTAACATCTTAAAAAAATATAAAACAATGTCAGAATAATTTTCAAATATTTGTTCAGAAAATGCTAAGTATGAATATAAGATCCCAAATTGTGTTTAAAATTAGGTTTGCTTAGTTTTCAGCAAAAAATATCCACACAATTCTTGCTGGAGAAATGACATGAAAATTTTAAAGAACAAACAAGAACACAAGCATATAGCAGGAATAAGTTACCTCTTCCAACCAGGTCTACAGTAAAACTCATTTGCGAATCTTCATCTGCATGTTCCTTGAATCTCTCTTTACTTCTTCTCTAGGCCATGCTTTCTGAATGTAATCTGCTTTGTTTTTAAAAAAAAAAAAAAATCCTCCAAGATGACTATCGAATAAACGTAAAGTGAAAACAACGAGAAATTAGAGTTCATAGCCATTTTCGCTATAAGCAACTCATATCTGTGGGACCCATCTAAAAGGAAATAAAGAAAAAGAGGGAAAGAGTTGGAAGTTGGGCGGCAGATTGAAAAAATTGCAAGTTGCGGCTGAAATTTACAAGTCACAAAAAAAAAATGTGTTTTGACCGATAGAAATTTACACTGCAAATTTCAAAGAATAAATCATTCTGATTGATCCAATGACATGCAAGTTTTTCTATAAATAGCAGGCTTCGTTTTTCTTTTGAAACACACCAAAAATATAGAGAAGCAATAGAAGTTAGATAGAGTAATCCACAGATTGTAATCTGTGAGATAAATAGTGAGTGTGAGTAATATTGTAATGAGTTATTTTAAATAAAGAGTGTTATTTTTTTTGAGTCGTAGTAGTCTTTTGACACTACAAAATTATAATATTATAGTAGTATTATATTTCTTCTCTCGGGTATTGTATTTTATCTCGTTAAAAGATTTTGTGTCATTATTACTCTCTTGTATCATTATTATTTATCGTGAATATTATTCCTGGGCGGATATTATTTATTCCCAACAATATCCACATAGCTTATACGGAGTATGATTCAACAAATCTAATTCCAACCAAAAGACAATTGTTGAAAAACGATATCCTACTTATCATAGAGTTGGAGGTATTTTTCTTTTCTTTGCAAAAGTTCGCGTGCCACCTTTTCAGAAGGTTAAAGTAATAATTTTGTTGATGTTGTGGAGAAGCCCTGGTATACAAGTAGTAGACAATACATAATGACATGATTCTCTAAGCAAGGCACCTTTCAAAAAGGTTTCTATCACCAAATCTCCCTATAATTTGAATTCAGGCCTGTTTCTCCCTTTGTAGAACTGATACCTACACAATGTACACTGAAACATGCAGTCTAAAGAATCGAACAAATTAAAGGAGGAATCAATTCCCAGTTAGAGTAAACCTAATATTATTTGTAGCTCATTTTTACATGTTGTCTAATCAATGATGCAGTAGGTTTTGCACAGTCGTGTATATATATTAAGAAACACTAAATATATGAAGATATTTGACTGTTAACAACATTATTATTGTATATTAACTTGAGATTGTTGTACCGACCCATAAAACTTCATATCCTTAATCCTATGTGAGTGGAAGCAATTAGGCAGTCAAAACTCAAAAGTCAACTTAACTCTCAACAGCTATATATAACAGTTTTTTAGCACCAACTTGCAGCAGTAATTAAGGATAACACTTAAACAATGATTCTGCATATGTATTTTTAATTCTGGTTTTGCCAGTTCAACCAGCAAGATAAGTCTAAACAAATATAAGCTTTAATCAAGGGGCAACACTTCAATGAGAAGTCAAGATTTTAACATAAAATTTTACCCAAGTATAGTTTAGCTAAAGTGAACTGGCGAGCTAAGCCTTTAGAACTACTAGCTAATTGTAGCAATAATTAAGGGATAGCAAATTTAATAACAGTTTTTATTTAACTCCATATGATCTTTTAAATTATTTAGCTTCAAGATGTCTTTTTTCAGGGGAAAAAAAAAAGGAAAAATGAACCTGCGTTGACTGCTAGGAGAAATTTTTATTCAACATAACGGTGCACAAACTTACAGATTTAGCAATACTTGCAGTACTAGCAAAAGCTAATATTTTGCTCTAATGAATCTAAAGGAAGAATTTGTACCAGATCCTTGTTAATAGGCGCTAACAGAGAAGGAATGTTTCCGGAATTGGGGAATTTGGCGGTGGCGCAGCCGTCGGCAGGTGGAAGCATTGCCGGAGATGGAGTTTCTTTCTGTCCTTTTTTCCAAACAAGTGTCATGCATGCCACGTGTCATTTTAGGAAGGTAGTTGTTTCACTTTTTTTTTTTTTACAAGTATGGGTGTGTAAAAGATTGTTCAAACAAAATATGTCAAATGAATTTTTGTGCTAGTTAAATGAGTAAAATATGCATCAAGTTTTTTTTTTTTTAAACTATTGATATATTATCTTTTTAAAAAATGTGCCATTTAATTGTTTCACTCCCTAGTATCTTTTTTCACTATAAAGTTCTCACTCCCTAGTTGATGTTTATTTAGACATAGGGTCTCCACTCCCTAGTCTCTTTTCCAACATAGAGTCTACACTCCCTAATTGAAATTATTTTAGATATAGGGTCTCCACTCCCTAGTCTCTTTTCCAACATAGAGTCTACACTCCCTAATTGAAATTATTTTAGATATAGGGTCTCCACTCCCTAGTTGATTTTATTTTAGACATAGGGTCTCCACTCCATGGTCGTTTTTCCAACATAGGGGCTCCACTCCCTAGTCACTTTTCCAATATAGGGTTTTCACTCCCTAGTTGATGTTTTTAGGCATATGGTCTCCACTCCCTAGTCGTTTTTCCAACATAGGGTCTCCACTCCCTAGTCGTTTTTCCAACATAGGGTCTCCACTCCCTAGTTGATGTTTTTAGCCATAAGGTCTCCACTCCCTAGTCGTTTTTCAAACATAGGGTCTCCACTCCCTAGTTGATATTTTTAGACATTGGGTCTCCACTCCCTAGTCGTTTTTCCAACATAGGGTCTCCACTCCCTAGTTGATATTTTTAGATATAAGGTCTCCATTCCCTAATCGTTTTTCCAACGTAAGGTCTCCACTCCCTAGTTGATGTTTTTAGACATTGGGTCTTTACTCCCTAGTCGCTTTTCTAACATAGGGTTTCCACTCCCTAGTTGATTTTATTTTGGACATATGATCTCCACTCCCTAGTCTCTTCTCCAACATAGGGTTTTCACTCCCTATTTGCTTTAATTTTAGACATATGGTCTCCACTCCCAAGTTTCTATTTTCCCAGGATACACCAATCCCAACTTTTTATCGCTTTCAATAATAAAGTAGTATAGAGTTTTGTTACCAATAACTCACAAAATTTTTCTAGTGAAAACTGGGCCAAAAAAATTTCGTTCGATTGTTTGTTTTGGTGCCTGAGCAGGTTATACCTCGAGGTAAAGGGTTGAGATAACCAAAGAAGTCTCAATCCAAAATAGAGAAAAGAAAAGGAAAGGAAGTGAATTCAAAGCGCATAAGAGGAGAAAAGATGTGGACCGCTCAAGACATGATTGAAGTCACAAGCTTTGCCCTGTCTTGATCCGAAAAGGCTGAAGAAGAATGAATTAGCACCTGCAGTTAACAAGCATCAAGGTTCAGATCGGAGTCTGTGTGAAAAACTAGCCAAGACTCAAGATCAAGACTCATAGATAGGAATCTTGTAACTCGTAGCAGATAGGCTTAGTTAATCTTTTTCGTTTTGACTTTGGTGTAATAAGGAGCTCAGCAAGCAGCAAATAGCAGCAACAACAGTGAAATCACAGCTTCTCGGTAGTCCCATCTATCAAAACTTTCAGAACTACACTGACTTGATTCCTTTATAGCTAAGGATATGTAGGCAACATCCGAGACAAGGTTCGGTCAAACCTTTTCAAAGTGTTTCCTATCGAGTATCCAAACGGGCAAAAATTGCTCGTAATTGCTCACTTTATCTTTGCCCGAAAAGCCTTCGTGTTTCCGAGCAAAGAGGGGCAGCTGTGAGCATGTGATTTTTGCCCGACGAAAAATATTCCTACAAATTCACAAAATAGATTTGTTTTAATTATTTTAATTTTTATAGAATTTTTAGAAATTTTTTGCTAATTGTTGTTTGCACTTAGTTGCATATTTAAAATTTTAAAATTATAAAAAAATACCAAAAAATATCCAAATTTTCATTACATAGCATGTTGGGTTTTAATTGCATTTAGGATTTAGTTACATGAGTTAATTACATTATTAAACAAAAATCACAAAAATATTGATCACTTTTACATTTGTAATTTTTAGTTTTAAATTAGTAATTTCCTTTTATTTTTTTAAGCTAAATTAATTGTTCAAATGTTAGAAATAGTTAATTAGGTTTATTTCACAAATTAGATCTTTGATTTAGGACCTAATCTAGGTTTTTAATTAATTAGTATAGGATTAAAAATAAAAGAAAAGAAAGAAGAAGAAGAAGAAGAAGAAGAAAGATAAAGAAAAGGAAAAAAGGGCGGTTTGGGCCAACCCAATGGCCGATTGTTCCCAATTCCGCCGAGCCCCAAAATCCCTCACCCGATCCAACCCCCATCAGGCCAAACGACCCCCTTTTTCTTTGAACAATCCCATTCGTTGATCTCCTATGATCCAATGGCTGGGAACTCCCCACTTCCTCCCCTTATAACTGTCCAAACAGACCCCTCCCCAAACCCTAAAACCATTTTTTCATTTCTTTTTCATCTCCCTCAACTTTCTAAACCATAGCCGCCATCACACCCCCAAACCCCCACCGGCGGCCGCCACCTTTAACACCACCAAACAATCCCAGATTCTCACCATACAGTGCTCGTCCCTCCCTCTTTCCAAATCCATCACTAGTTTTCCCAAAATCCCCACCAAATCCGTTGATTTTCGGATCTAAAAATCCAAAAAACAAAAAACCCTAATCTTTCCCTTTTCTGATTTCTTGGCAGATGCCAACTCGTTTTGGTCTAAAACTTACGTTAATCGATTGCTCTTAACGAGAGCAATCGATTGACATTCGTTTTAGTTCATTTCGAGGTCATCAGAATTTGACCGACCTACTGGATTTCGGCCAACTCGCCACTGGCCAGCCAAAGCCTTGTCGTCGTCGTCAGTGTTCGTCGATTCGCCTCAATCAGCGTCTCTTTTAGAAGCCAAATCAGTGTATCTTCTCTTTTCCTTTTTTTGTTTCTTTTCAGATTATCACTTAGATGTTAATTTCTTTTGATTAGATTAGTTTATTAATTTGATTAAGTTCAGTGAAAGTAAGATTAATTAGTTAATTGTATGGTTTTAGGTTAAGTGAATCAGTTTTAATTAATTTAATAATTTAGCTAAGTTTAATTGGTAAGCTCTCTGCCCTTCCAGGATAGGGGTAAGGCTGCGTACTTCAGACCCCACTTGTAATTGGTAAGTTGTTTCTGTTTTGTTTAATCCTTGATTTGGTCTTAATTGTTTGACTTGTGATGTTTGAGTGTCAATTGGAATTAAGGGGTGAAAGGGTAATAACAGAAACTTTAAGGGAGTAATTGGAAATCAAATTTAAGGAATCTAACTAGCTGCTCAGGAAGCTTCTAGAAAAAAGACTTAAGTGCAATAACATAATTGAATTAGGTCAGAGTTTGGGTAAAAAAGGTCAATTTTCAGAAGTTGAAAAGAGTGAAAATGAGAAGAAACTTCTAGAAAAGGACAGTTGTCCCGATCTTGTTAAGATAAGGTGCTGAAAAAAAGGAAAATATCTCATATAAGAGGGACAGCTGTACAAAATTGGTTAAAAAGATGCTTTTTGTTCCATTTTTTCAGCTGACAGATTCCTCTTTATATTCCCTTATTCTCTTCATACAGGGCACGACTGATTTCTATAAAAGGGAACACACTTTTCATTTAGGGGAGAAAAATTTATCTACACATTACACTCTCACTCTCACACACACTCAAGAGCAAAAGAAAGGCATCTTCTCTGATATAGAACACTAAATATTCCATAAAAGAAAAAAAAAAGTAGGATAGAGAGGCTATTTCTGAATTGTTTGAGGCAGTGTTCATTCCTTTTCATATTGCTGGGTTTCTAAATATTCTGAATCGAAACTACTATTGTTCTCTGCATAGTTGGACTCCAATCTGTTTTTTCCGACCTCTACTGGGTTTTCTTTTCCTTTAAGCCTAATCCTCAAGTTATTAGGTATGTTTCTTTGAAGCTATTGTCGGATTTGCTTGGATATGAGTATTATGATTGTTCTTTGACTCATTTGTAGTCATTACTTGAATCCATGACTTGTTTTGGCTAAGTCCATTTATTGATACTTGAATGTATATGCTTTGATTTAGCTTAAATACTGAACAAAATACCTGTTCAATTTAACTAGAATGAGATGCTTGATTTTTGATTTTCCCGAACGCAACCACTTCGTGTGTATTGGCTTGATTCCTATTTTTGAGTAATGTCACATGTTGAAATGAAATCTGTATAGTCAGCTAAGTTTGGAAGTCGTGGATTTCATAGTTGTTAATTAGTGTAATACTCACGTGTTTAAGCAGGTTAATCTCGTGATTTAATCTCAGTTATGAGGCAGAAGGTTAAGCAAATGTGAGGCAGAAGGAGAATACTGATTTATGAGGTTTTAGTGTTGTATAGTTAACTCTTATTGTAATATTCATCTAGGGCTATTACTGTAATAATTTTGATTGACTCAATGAAGATAAGCAGATGTTGGATTTTGTATAATCTGTGATTTGATTTAATCACTCTTTGGCATGGTAGTTGGATATATAATCTTGTATTTCCATTTGTTGTGCTTCACGTTTGGGCCTAAATGCTATGGGCCTCAATGTAAGCCCAATGTCATTCCACGCGACCTAACTGAGGTCCAGTTCTGTTTCTCAACCAAGCATGACCCCTATACCATTATTTGATTACTGGCCATATCGAATTGGGTAACTAAAAAATAGGTTATTCCAGTAGTTTGCCAAACCATTACCATTTTGTTTGCATGAATTCTTTAAACAACCCAAGACTTTCGATTGTTTTGTCCTTCACATGTGCTAGCAATCAACTTCAATTGCCTTTATCAAGATTCATGTGCCAATAATTTATCTCTTCACATGCTGTTTTTTTTTTTTTACAAATTAATACGTGTCTGTGGGGCCTGATGGCAGAAGTAGGCCCAGTTCTATTTTGTCAACAATGAGCTCTTGGAGCTCTTTTGACATGAATTTCTTTCTCTCGGGCCTAGTCGCTAATGTGCCAGGCCTGTCCCTCACTTTGTGAATCTTTTTTTTTTTTAAAAGAGAATTCTAATGTAGCAAAGGTCCAAAGGATTAGAATTAATTAATTCTTGTACGCTTATCCACAAATGATTTTCCATAAGTGAGACCTTACAACAAATTTTAAATTAGTTTAGGACAACAATTCATGAATATTCCTAATTTGCTTTAGGCGCGATTAAATAAATTATCGTGACTATGAGTATGGTTCTCGTGGCATAGTCATGATACGTAAATCCCATTTGGGTGTGCATTTCATGTGACCCGACCACAACTTCTAATTATAATAAAAATAAACATGTTGTAAATTGCGGGTGCATTTCACGTGGCACGATTCGCAATATGTACAAAAGCAAACGAGTGCGCGACATCGCGACTTGTTCAAACAAAAGATAAAATACACAATAGGTTCTAAAACATATAATAGTTCAGATAATTAAGCCAGGTATTAATTGTTAAGCGACCGTGTTAAAACCACGGAACTCGGGAGTGCCTCACACCTTCTCCCGGGTTAACAGAATTTCTTACCCGGTCTTCTGTGTTCGCGGACCATAAATAGAGTCAATTTTCTCGATTTGGGATTTAAAATAAACTGGTGACTTGGGACACCATAAATTATTCCAAGTGGCAACTTTGAAATTAAATAAATAATCTCATTTCGATTAATGTCACTTTAATTGGAAAAACTCCCTATCCCCTCGGGAAAAAGGAGGTGTGACAAACGACTTAACAGTTTTGGGGGCAGATTACTCGATTTTTTTATCGGGTAAACCGTTAAGGATTTTTATATTTATACTTTTATCCCTGTGTATATAAAGTACTATTAAAACTTAAATGGCTAAATCTCGTATGTCTGTAGCTAATGGCATTGGCAGTCGTCTTTAGCTTCTAATTAGGAAAAGCTACTACAACTAACATAGACAGTCTAAACTATGCATTTGACCGTTTGATATTGATTGTTCAAAAATTTCTATTTGGTTTAGCCAATAAACCGCCCGATAATTGTCAATCTGATATCAATCTGCCCGATATCTTGTTGCATGGCTAACGAATTATTATATTTATAATCCGATAACCGATAAATCAAACCGTTAATCGTAATTATACGCCCGATCCGCTCCCCTAGGATCTGCTGAACGTGGTGCCTTAGGACCATTTGGTTTATTGGTTCTAACAGATAAGGGCTTGTCCGAGCAAACTCCAATATACTTCTACATTGCAAAAGACGCTGCTGGAAATTTCACCACATTCTTCTGCAATGATCTTACGAGGTTCTAATTGTTATTAAAGATTGTTTATTGATGATTATTAAAGATTGTTTATTGTTCTCAAAATGTAACTAAGAGTGTTTTTTGGAAAGTGCTTTACTAGACAATGTTACTCCGAATGTTGGGTATCAATGGATATTTAAAAACCGACTAAACCGACTGAAACGTACCGCACCGAACCGATTTTTAGGTTTCTTTTAATAAAATCGTAAGTTTTTATACAAATCTTTAACCATACCGTTAATTAGGGTAGGTTTTTTATTTTATGAAAATAAATCGAAAAAATACCGAACCGTACCGAATAAATTTACTTGTGAAAAATATATTTATATATTAAGTTTAAAAATAATAAAGCATATTCACTAGCAAAATCCTAATTCACAAACTTATTATACTACTCCTGCTGAAACTAAATTATTCCAACATATTTACTAGCAAGACGCATAGTATTCTAGCGATTATAAATAGCAAATTACAATGTATTGAATATGTTTCCTTTCGTATAATTTAGATTCATGTTTTTGAATATTTAATCTTTTATAGACTTTATTCATGAGTTCCAACTTGGTTAGTATCTTTCCACTCGTGTGATTTATATTTTTTGTATCTTTGCTTAGTTTTTTTTATGCTGCTGTAGAATAGTTGATGGATACTCTGATTATCTTTCATATTTTCTTAATTCATCACCTTTCAAAAAGTAAAAATATTTTTGATAAGTCATACATAATAGTGACTTTTACAAGACACTTCTTTGCATTCTACTAGTAACTTTTATAAGACATTGAAAAAACTATCAAAACTTAACCGAACCGTACCGATACTGAAGAGAAACCGACATGATTGGGACAGTATCAGAAAGTCTAATTTTGGATACATAATAGAATAACCGAAAAATTGCTATGGTACAAATTTCATAAAATAACCGACCGAACCGAACCATTGACACCCCTATTTCTACCTATCTTAGGGATCACAAGTATATGAACATTTCTAAATGAGGAAAGACATAAATAACTTCAGCGGAGTAATAGTATAACATCCAAAAAATAACAAAGCATTGTCGGAATGATCTTTAAATACCCGTTCAGCATGCTAAATATGAATATAAATCCCACACATTATTACAGAGCACTTTAAAAAAAAATCTCCACAATTCTTGCTAAGTATGACTATAGAATCCCACACCTTATTACAAGAGCACATTGAAAATTTGATCTCTGAGAAGTTACATTTCTTGCTAGAGAAATGACATGAAATTTTTTAAAGAAAAACCAACAAAGAGTTCTTTCTCCACTTCTTCTCAAGGCTGTGCTTTCTCAATCTAATCTGTTAAAGAAAATCTCCAAGATGACTCTCAAGTAAACGTAAAGTGAAAATAGCGAGAAATTAGAGTTCATAGCCCTTTTCTTTATAAGCAACACATCCACATAGCTTATATGATTCAGCATATTTAATTTCAACCACATGACAATTGTTAAAATATGATCTCCCTTCCTTATCATTGATGTAGGAGGCATTTTTTTTCTTTGGGCAACAATTCATGTGCCACCTTTTCAAGAGGTTAAAGTAATATTTTTGTTGATATTGCTTCTCCCTGTTACACAAGTAGTAGACAATAGATAAAGATATGGTCCTCTAAGCAAGGCCTTCCCAAAGGTTTGTTGTTCCTAACATATTTCTATCACCAAATCTACCTATAATTTGATTCAGGGCTCTTTCTTCCATTGTAGAACTGAAAAGTACACAATGTACATTAAAACACACGGTCTAAATAATCGAACAAAATTAACCGAGGAATCAAATTTATGTTGCGAGACCTAATATTATTTGTAGTTCACCTTAACATGTTTGCCTACTCAATGAACAGTGATTTTTAGTTTTCCTCTTGTATCAGGAAGGAATAAGCAAATAATAGCAAGAATAAACTACCATGACATTTTTCCCCCTCAAAATTTTGCAATACACACAAAAGAGTACTAAAGAAAACTACAACAACAACAAACAATGAACATCACGAAGCCCTCATAAAAATGTCTTTTTGACAGGATTGACAGAGCAAGAATGGCCAAATTCAGAATATGGACATCGGCAAGCTGTACAGGGGTAGTATGAGCTCAACTAATGAAATAAAATAAACACAACATAAAATGGCTCAATTACTGCATTGACAGAGATCAACCCTGAAAGAGTTTCATAGAGCCATTTTCCTAAATGTAAATATTTGTGTACTTCGAGCTATGGAAGCAACCACTAATGTTTGCATTACGGTAGGCTGTCTACATTACACCCCTTAGGGTGCGGCTCTTCCCCGGACCCTGTGTGAATGCCGGATGACTTGTGCACCGGGCTGCCAATAATATATATTTGTGCAATGATTTTTCTAAATCTTTTCATTGACCATGTATATCATAATTAAAAGGCCGTACAACAAGCACATGCAACGTATGTAACAAACTCAACAATATACTCCTATTTAGTAGTTATGCAGAAGAAATTCTATTACAATCAACAGGTTAATTCTTACCTAATGATTCAACACAGTTCCTGATCAGAAGTCAAAATATTTAATAGATATTGAAAGTTCATTGTTAATGATTTACTTACTTGAATCAAAGGCGTAAACTTTAAGCATGTTGTTTCCCAATTCCTCATGCTTTTCCTGGATCTGCTTGGCAAAAGTCACAAGAGGATGACGACAATTATGTAACTCAATTAGCTGCAGCGTCACACTATCTGCAAATCCTTCTGGGATCTCTTGTAAGAGTGTGCACTCTCTGATGCAGACACACTCAAGGCATTGGAAATAATCATCGCTGGCTGTCCAATATCTAAGATACAGATCCTCAAGGAGTAAAAACTTCAATTTAGGGAATCCCATCTCTGTTATTTCCCACTCAACGCCTGAGAAGGCATCATCCTTCAATTCAAGCACCTCGAGATTGGGCAACTTGCTTAAAATGTTCATGCCATTCCATGGAAGACAGGTGCGGCTAAGTGTCAATTTCTTGAGATTTGGTGGGAAAGAACCTGGACTTGGATTGATTAAACACGGCAGCGGGTCGGAATCAAAATCAGGCGGAACTGTAACATTTAGTGCCTCGAGCTCTATTAAATATTTAAGATTATTATACCATCCCATCTCGCTATGAAATTCCTCTGCTTTACCAGCAATTTCCAATTTCTTCACTTTCTTAATCGTTTCAAATATTTCTTTTGTGCAACAAGAAGGTATCAACCCAGAAACAGTTTGTATGTTTTCCAAAACCAAGTTCTTCACCTCATTTTCTGATACTGTCTGAGAAGAGTCCAAATACATACGCCAAAAATGGAGATGCCTCAATTGAGACAATTTCCAAATTCCATTTGGTAAGGAACGATTAGCGTGTATTCGGGTCAGACCAACAATGAGAGTTTGTAAATTCAGAAGTTTAGAAATAGGAAATTGTCCAGATCTTGAAATGCTCAATGCCAAATACCTTAAAAGAACTAGGTCTAGTATAGCTATGGGGAAATTGAAGATCTTCTTCTCCAAGTCCAATACCCTAAGAAGTTTGAAATGACACCTTTCTACATCAAGAATTAATGTTCTAGAATTGACAGAAAAGGAACGTAATTTGCTATAAGCAAGATCAGGGAATCGACTATGAAAATAAAAGCCCCTTGATTGTTGTGATACCCACCTGCAGCCTTCAGGAATAACCCATAGAGGTCCATCAATATCGGTATTCACAATATACAGAAGATTCTGGCTGCCGGCTTCTTTCAAGCAGAAATCATGAACAAGATCATGAATCATACATGTCATGATTTTACCATCCATACTTCCCTTGCTAACAATAACTAGACTTTTATCAATAAGATAATTTAAATGACTAGCGGCCACTTCTTCCAATCCCTCCATACCCTTTATCTTTAGGAGCCCTTCCGCAATCCATAATCTAATCAGCTTTTCCATAGAAATTTCACTAGCTTTTGGAAAAAGTCCAAAATACAGAAAGCAACCTTTCAGATAAGAAGGAAGATGATTGTAGCTTAAAGCAAGCACTCCTGAGCATTGTTGATAAGCATCAACTTCTGCTAATGAGCTCACCCTTTCAGCAACTTTTCTCCACTCTTCCAATGTCCTCTTGCTAGACAGAATCTTGGCAACCACGGCAATCATAAGTGGTAATCCCTTGCAGTTTTTTGCAACATCCTTCCCGACATCCTCAAATTCAATTGGAAAACCTTTTCCTGCAAATGCTTTTTGCTGAAACAAATTCCAACAGTCATCAGGGCATAGTAAATGCATCTTGAAAGGATCCTTCGAAGAGCTAGCATATTGAGCAACCTCAGCGTCTCGAGTAGTCAACAATACCCGACTTCTTTTACCATCATCTGGAAGACACAGTCTAATCTCATCCCAAGCGATTTTGCTCCATATATCATCCACAACAATCAAATACCTTCGACCCATTAAACTTTGTTTCAAGCAAACAGCTAAATCCGAATCGTTTTTCTTATCAAGGTCTTCTTCCTTCCAATATTAACATCTTTAAGGAGGCCTAAAAGCATCTTTCTATAACTATAGTCCTCAGACACGGTAATCCATCCACGGATGTCAAAGAAGCTCAAAACTGAGGGATGAGCAAAAATCTTTTTGGCAAAAGTTGACTTACCAATGCCGCCCAGACCAGTAACAGCATTGACTTCCAGTTCAGGTGAGTCTCTGGTAAGTTGACTCAGCATGTTTGCTTGTTCAATGTTGTACCCCACCATATCGTTCTCAAGGGTTGAAGCATGCAATCGTGGTGAACTTGAATCACCAAGCGAGGAATTTCCAGCTTGCAAATTGTTATTCTGACTGTGCTTGAAGACCTCTTCCTTGAGCGAGTCAACGTTTCCTATAGCTCGTTGTAAGATCTCAAAAAGACTCTCGAGGGTTTCCTTTTGATGCAGTCCGTCATATTGTTCGTCCATTACCACTTTCATCTGTGATTCAACTTCGTCTTCTGCTTCATTTGCTATGTGTTTTACTTTTGCTTGCAAAATCTCCATTTGTTCAGCATCAGAACTATCAAGAAACTCTTGCAGAGAATCAACCTTTCTCATAGAGTAAATTCAAACTTTCCACATGAGTGTTCCATAGATCTAAGTTTGATTGCAAAAGCTGAGGCTGTTGTACTGTTCCCATTAGAGAAGTCAGTGCAACATAAGCAGACATCTCTCTCTATACTTCTGCAGTAAAGGATCTCCACATTTGCGAATGAAGCAATTTGGACTCACTAGACACTAAAAATGACAGAAATGACAAATTCACATACAATACAAGTCATTATTTGTTTTTTTTTTGTTTTTGGTAAGGTAATAGGTTTTCAAAATTTTAAAGCTCAATGCATACTTTACCTCTCTAACTTGCACAAAATTCGGTAGCTAAGACCCCCTGAATGGCACACTACTTTATTTTTGTTTTCTGCAAAACCAACCATGGTCAACCACAACCCTTAGCACTCAAAGATTTTGATAAAGCAATCTAATATGAAAACTACTGCATTTTCTCCACTCAGAAACTATGGAAAAGCTCTAACTTATCCGTGGCGATGCTTTCCTTATAGCTAGTAAAGATCCGGCGAAGGTGACAGAAAATTTGGTGGCGAGGTAGAGAGTAAAAAGGTTACAGGCGGATTTAGGATCGGAAATGATGAGAAGGAAAATTTGGTAGAAAAGCTTGTCTTTAATCTGTCTCTCCTTTTGTTTAATGTTAAAACTAGCCCGGTTGAAAGAATTGGAAGAAATAGAGAAATATTTCTAGAATTGGGAGGATTTGGCGGTGGTGGACCGTTGATATAGGTGGAAGCATTGGCGGAGATGGAGTTTTCGTCGACGGAAACGACGGTGGAGGTGACGGCCGGACCTTTTTCTTTTTAGGTGATCGCCGGACTTGGGCAAGGTATACAACAAAAGCCCAATTTTAGTAAATCCGCATACACATACTAAAAAATGGAGAGAATATTTTCCACCCCAAACGAGGGAGATGATCACTTTTGCCCAAAAGTTTTTTTATTTTTTAAGATTATCTCAAATTTTTACTTATTTCGTAAAAAAAATATGTTGAAGTTGAGGGGTTTGGTCAAATACAAAGTATTACTCTAATATTAGCAAAAGTATTTTTTTAAAAATAATTAATCAAATATAAATAGTTAATTTCCAAAACTACTTTTACAAAAATTACTTCTGACAAAAATAAATTATGAAAGATTTTTGAAACTTGGACAAATAGAGTACTATTAAATATTATTAATGATATCTAAGAATTAGAGAAGCACCTTAAACCAGAGACCTCTTGGATTGAATTTGTACGTCTTAATTGGTAGATTTCTCTCTTGGAAGCTCTAGGTAAAGCTTCTCTATGCGGTGTATATATGTGTATGTGTGGTGATGTGTAATTATAAGAGAGTGAGGAGTATATATATATATATATATATATATATATATATATATATATATATGTATATATGCGCGCGCGGTGTATATGTGTATATAATATTTGTTTTTTGTTGTGTAATTATTGTTGTTATTTTTATTGTTATTTTTCAAAGGTCACTTTGACCATACATTAAATATTCCAAGATTCATGTTACTTTTGGTACAAAAAAAAACAACTAGTATTTACCTCTATTGAATCTAAAGTAAGAATTTGTGTCAGATCTTTGTTAACATATAGTAGTAGTTATTAATCGAAAAAGAATGTCAATGCTTCCATATGTAGTTGTAGTTCAAGAGTGACTTCTCAGAAATAATCAGTTAACAAAGATCTTCAAGAGAAGTTATGCTAAATAGCTACATCGACAACAACAACAACCCAGTATAATCCCACTAGTGGGGTATGGGGAGGATAGTGTGTACGCAGACCTTACCCCTACCATGAGATAGAGAGGCTGTTTCCAATAGAAACTCGGCATCCTTCCCTCCAAGAACTCCCAACCATGCTCTTGGGGTGACTCGAACTCACAACCTCTTGGTTGGAAGTGGAGGTTGCTTACCATCAGAGCAACCCCTCTTGTAATAGCTACATCCATCATGCTAATTAAGGGGCAAGGGCACATATAATCATTCTCATGAATTTTATTTAGAGATTAGCCAGTATTTATTGACAATTCAAGATATTTTTATCTTGAAAAATTGAAATGAAAAATTAAAATTCAGGACGCACGGGCTAATTCCTAAATAGCAACTTTTTAGAGTGGTTAATTCCTAAAGCCAAGGCCCTTTGACATCTTATAACACCAATAACTCTCTCAAGCCTCTTTTTTATAAAACGTATAGCATGGTACACCGTAGGAGGTTTAGAAAAATATATTTTGTTAATTTCAACATTGTAAAAAACCACGAAAACTCATTTCCTCCCTAGTGATGTAGTCTCAATTGAACGGCTGGCACAATATGAGTAGCATAATTACGTTGCTTGTATGAAAAAATAAAATTTGCAAAATTCTTTCACCTTATTTATCGTGATAAAGTAAGCAATGTATTCGGTGGATCATAGACCTTAATTACCCTGAGACTTGAGAAAATATTTATGGGGTCGAGGTGATTTCCGAGAGAACGATGAGAATTTGGTGATGGAGGTAAGACCGACGATTAGCTCATAAAGCATATAATTTCAGCAATTCAAATATTCATATATGGGACACCAAAATCTCCTGAACAATTGCTTACTGCTCTGCCAGAGGCGGATCCAATGTATCTGCACCGGGTTCGATCGAACCCAATACTTTTTGACGCGAAACATAAATTTATGTGTAAACATTCACTAATATTGCAATATATAGTTAGCAATATGAACCCATAACTTTAAAAATACAATGGGTTCAATGCTAAAAACCTTAAAGACTAAACTATAAAACTTAAGTCCTAGATCCGCCTCTGTGCTCTGCAAGGGTGCTATAGGAAAGTGCAACTGCGCTTGTGTCTGCCAGGGTTGAAGCAGAAGAAAGGAGAAATAATATACGTTTGAGGGAGGAGCAGGATGACGCTTATTGTGCTGCACTTGAAGTTGATCAGGTAAGCACTTTTAGGTTCTAAATAGGCTTTGCAAGTTCAATCTTGGAAAGGGCAAAACAAATGTGCGTTGCTAAACTATTAATCCTATACCCAGGCTAGAGAGCCTCGGAGGAAAGAAGAGCAAGAGCGGCAGGGAAAGGAAACTATTGAAGCTGAAAGGAGGCTGAAAGAGAAGTTGCATTGGCTAAAATGCGCGAGGAGAAATTATTGTCACTGGCCCTGAACCTGAGTAGGCTTGATAGGATATATGCATTCTGGTTATGTTTTGATGATCTAACAAACTCAATGATAAGAACCAGATAAGGTACCTGATACGCATCCTCAAGTATGTAAGAATAACAAGTCTTAAACTGGGGAAGTGAATCAACTTTTAAGAGAGAAAAAAAAAACAAGGGGAACAGATGGACACCAGTTCCCTTGATGACCGTACCAGTCAATCTCCCAACAGCTGTAAAGTTGCTGCCTGCACACGCAACAGTGCAAAATAGTGCAGCAGTTAACTTCATTGGGAATGCCCTTGTACCAAACATGCTTGCATCATTCAAGTGATGTCACCTATGTAATACTAACATTAAACCAAAGGCAAAACATCACTTGAACATTGAAGAATCCATCTAGCATTCTCTCAAGTTTGTGCATCAATCCAGCAAGAGATTCTCAAGGGCATCAAGAACAAAGAACAACATAACAAAGGACCAGTTTCCTGTATTAAGTTATTACATGTCCTTAGTTGTGTTGCACCTTTGTTAAAGTACTTGTGATTTCTACTTAGCTTAGTTAGAAGCATTGTGTAGGAAACTTTTGTAAAATCATAAACCTTGTGTTTGTGTATTGGCTAGAGTTAGTCGAGTTGTAAGCTTTGTAATGGAGTTATTACAAAGGGGCTTGTAATAGAATTGTTACAAGTTAGTGAGAGATTAAGAGATTAATTCCTAGATTACAATAGGTTGTAATCTGAAGTTTGCTCAGTAGTGAAGTTAAAATCCTACAAGGGTAGGTCGTGGTTTTTAATACCGTGAGCGGGGAGTTTTTCACGTAAAATTCTATTGTGTCATTTACTTACTGCAGTGTGCGTGCGTTCAGTGGAAACTAATAGAGAACCTGGTTCTCTATATAAGTTTGGTGGACCCTTAGTTTCTATCAATTGGTATCAGAGCAGATTCTTTCTATCAGGTTAACACCTAGAAATGATCCTCATGGCTACTCCACCAAATTTTGAAGAAGGTCAATCTACCTACATACCACCAAGATTCAACGGCCAATACTATGGATAGTGGAAGACAAGGATGCATGATTTTATCATGGTTGAAGATTCAGAGCTCTGGGATGTTATCTGTGATAGACCCTTCGTCCCTATGAAGACCAGTGGTGACCCAACAGTAACAACTCCCAAAACAAGAAAGGAATTCAATGATGTTGATCGCAAGGCCATAGATAAGAACTTTCGAGCAAAAATAATTCTCGTATGTGGTATTGGACCAGACGAATACAATAGGATTTCAGCATGTCAATCCGCTAAGGAGATCTGGGAAGCTCTCTAAACAGCTCATGAAGGGACAACTCAAGTCAAGCAGTCGAAAATTGACATGCTAACCACAGAGTATGAGCTCTTCAGAATGAAGGATGATGAACACATTCAGGACATGCATACTCGTTTCACCTCTATCATCAATGAGCTCCATTCTCTGGGAAAAATCATTCCAAGGAACAAACTTGTCAGAAAAATACTTAGCGTATTACTCATTTCCTGGGAAAGCAAAGTAAATACTATTACGGAGGCAAATGATCTACAGAAACTGACTATTGATGAACTCATTGGGAATCTGAAAACTTATGAAATGAAGAAAAAGAAGGACAATGAGAGAAGAGAGCCCAAAAGGGAAAAGAACCTGGTCCTCAAGACAGACAACAATGAATTAAGTGGTGAGGATGCTGATATGGCCTACTTGACAAAGAGGTTTCAAAAAATGGTTCGCAGAAATGGAGGTATTCCAAAACGGAGCAGCTCCAGCAAGCAAAGAGGCTATGACCTATGTCATAAGTGTGGG